AGCGGAATCGCCCCGGATCGGCGGCACTGCCCGGAAGCCACTACAATAATGGAAGAGCGGGAAGTACACTTGGTCGTCCAAGGATAGCACGCCGGACATAGCACAAATCGCGAAAGCGAGTTTGGCATATTAAAAAATTCATGTTTGGGATCGAGGACGTTGTTTTTCGAACCTGACTTGTGCTATGTCGCTCGCGTTTCGCGCGGATCCTCTCGACTCCGCCGGCCAAGGCGGCGGTGGGAGATAGAGAGAGGGAGCAACGAGAAAAGGGGAATGCATCGAAGAAGCCTCGCCCCCCAAACCGCCGCCCCGGCGGCGAGAGAGGGGGGGCTCTCCTGATTTGTGCTACGCGAGCCGCGTGCTATGCTGTGTGTGTGTGTGGGGGGGGGGGGGGAAGGAGGGGGCGAGGGCAAGCTAGGTGCGATCGCGTCATATCTGACATCCTACCCCCCCCCCCATACCTCACCATGGCGCAGATCCCCTCTCTACTCGCACAGTCGGATGTCGAGCAGGGCAGCGATCGCCAAAGGGCACGTGATGCATAGAAGAGCATGGCATGGCATGGCGTAGAAGAGCACCGCGAAGCGTAGTATCAACCAGCATTGCATTGCACGCCGTGGCACGGCACGGGAAATGACGCCAGCGCTGCAGCGGGAGCACGAGTCGAAACGAGCGGAAGCGCGGAAATGAAGCCAGCGCTGCAGCGGGGGCACGATTCGGAACGAGCGGAGACACGGAAATGACGCCAGCGCTGCAGCGGGAGCACGATTCGGAACGAGCGGGGCCCGAAAATGAGGCCCGACGCGGGGGGGGGGGGCGGGGGTCGAGCACTTTCAAACGGTCATCAGGGGAAGAGGGCGAGTAGTATTCATATTGAGTAATTGTAAAGAGCGAGGAGGGGGAGGAGAAGGCGGAGGAGGAGGCGGAGGAGGAGGAGTCGGGACCAACACAGCACAGGTCAGCAGGATTGGGGGCATCGCCCCCAATCCTGCTGACCTGTGTTACGAGGGGCTAGGAGGAGGAGGAGGAGGAAACGAATGCGCGCGGCGCTCAGGCGAGAACCACATTTTGAAAACCACCTGCCCTCAATGAATGAACTCTTGCAAATTCAAAAGACGAGTGTGCTCGGCGCTAAGGCGAGAGCCACATTTTTAAAACCATATGTGAAACTATTGCCACTTTTAAGCTTCAGAGTCATAACATGGTGGGGAAGTCTCAGGCGAAACGCCCGACCCGCCCTAAAAACTGGCCCCGGGGTGCGACAGGGAGGATCAAGGGGGGAGGGGCGAGGATAGCACAGCACGCACATGGCACAACACAGGGAGCGGGGATAGCACGCAGAAAATTGGACAGGGGCCGTTCTCGATCTCCCCGGAGCACAAAATTGCAGAAGTAGCCGAGACATCAAAACATTGGGTTCAGAAAATTCGAAGAAACTCTGTGCGTTCGAAGATTTACTAAACGTCAAGCGCGAGAACCTACGATAGCACAAATCGGTTTAGGCATGTGCTATTTAAAAGGCGACCGAGTATATAGAAGGACAAGGGGTAGCATCGACAGGAGCAGGAATAGCAGGCTGAATTATCTTGAAAGCGCCACAGCATTCACGATACCAGGCCCAGCGCGCGCAACACAACCAAATCCGCATCACCCCCCTTGCGTATGAGGACATCTAAGAAATCGCGAATCCCAATCAAACACGGCATCCCGCTGCTCTGCCAACACCTGTGCCAAGGCCCTCGCAGGGTGCATTCGAACGGCTGCATGGACAGAGACACGCACCCAGCATGGGAAGCAAGGAGCCCGACGCGACCCACTGCCCAGTTTGCCCCGCATGCAAGGGCCACAACGCCCCCGACCCAGCACATCGAATTCAGAATACCTAGCCTTGCCCGAAGCGAGGCGTGGCCATGGCCCTACGCTCCCTGCCAAGACCTGCAAGAAACGCCTGGTCGGCCGCGTCGGCCCCACGAGCCCACTGGCTCTGAGCTAGCACACCTCTAACAACTGGGCTGCAATCTTGCCTGTGACCATGCCCCCATCTCCAAAATTGTCTCGCGCTTCCTCCAATGAAATTGCGCTGGGGCTCCAGCCCCAAGGTGCCATGCACTGGCTGCGGCGCGAGATCGCATGGAATTCCCAGAAGAGCCATTCGGGCATGCTTCAACAAACGACCGAACAAGCATAGTTGTCGTCTCGGCGACCAGGCGCCACGCGGGGCCATGCCACAGCCTCTGAATAAGCAGCGTCACCAGCATTACTACTGCACTTTTTCTTCACGCTGCCCTGTCGGCTGCATTTCGGATCAAAAACAATGGGTGAGGGCAAGATGGCTTGATGGGGCCTAGCTGCAGCGACACTTGAATGCCTCATCTTTCCAACACGACGCAGCGCGCTTCGCGTAGAACATCTCGACCCCGCGACGCCTTTGGTTGAAGTCCACCTGGGCCACACATAACGGGAAAGAAACGATTCAACGCGCTCGGCTTTGATGCCGCTGCTGGAAATGTCACGCAGCGGGCCTCATGTTCACGGCGTGGCCCGCTGGGGGGGGGGCCTTGCGCTCCTTGCCAAATTACAATACATATTGGGAGATGTCATCTGCTTCAGCTGCACCCGCATCCGCCTTCGCCTTCGGCACGGGCACTCGGCCACTCCTCCATGACAGCCGCCACTTGCTGCGCACACACATCTGCATCGCCCACCCCCCCCCGGCCCAACTAGCCCATGCTGTCGGGATCGTCCAATGCAGTTTGAACGGCACACTCCGCGCGAGGCAGCGGTGGCGCCTCTGGCCGCGCTGGTCGCGAGCCGCCCCCAGGACCGGAACGTCCACGGAACTGGCGCCGCCAATGAAGCTTGCACATCATGCGCAGGAGCGCAGCCTGTCCCAACTCCCGCCAGCAAAGCGACGCTGGTCGAAGAACTTGAGCCCCGCCAGATCAGGCCTCGACGCAGCCGACGCGTCGCCCTGCACGAACAGCTGAGCCCCGATCTGGACGATCTGCGAGGCAGTCAAGCCGAGCGCCTGCGCCGATTGAAGACACGCGCCCACGTCGTCGGCGAAGGCCGGCCCATGGGCAGCAGGACGAGCAACACGGGCAGCAGGCACAATTGCCAAACTCAGCGCAGGGACCGTTTTGAGCTAGTCTCGCACGGTTGCGTTGGTATTCCTGCAACTGGTGATCCTTCTCACGGCCTTAAACATCATCATGGTAACTTGCACGGGCTGGCCCCGTGGGCCTGGGCACGTGGCCTCTGTCCCGGATTCGGGCAATTCCAAGGGCAAGTCGGGCCAGACCGTCAGCATGCGCAGTTCGTCGAGGCAACGAGCGTTCGCGACGCAAGCAAACGACTGCGCCAAATTGTGAACCTCCTGGTAGAGATTACCTTCGCCCACGTGCTCATCCCATACAGCGTCTGCCAGCAATGCGACGGGGTCAGCGTAGACGGGAGGCGACGGTTCCACGGGGGGGCCCGCGTGCAAGCCTTGCCACGGCAAGCAAGATGTTATGCTGGCGGTTGAAGGGCGTGTCCTCGTCGTCGAATGTCCCCCAGTCAGCGCGAAAAATTCAGCACTGAGCGCGAGTTCCCCCCCAACTGCCTCTCCGCAGGGGGGCCACCGTGGACGCGGCCCTCGACGCCGAGAGCACGGCCTCGGTCGCGCCCGAGAACTGCCCCGTCTGAGCCTGGCTGAACGGGGCGCCAGCCAATGTCTCCAGCAACGCGGATGACGACGAGCTCTCGAGGGGCTCAGCGAGTGTCCCGAGCATCCCGCGCAGAGAGTTCACGAAAGACCACGTCGGCTTCCCGACACGGTCTAGCGGCGCACCCAAGGTCCGCCGGGTGGCGATCAGCTGGGAGCCGGTGATCTCCGCGGTCAGCTCCTTGATGGATGCCGTCGCACTGGACTGCAACGACGCTGCCGAAATCCCTCTCTCAATAGACCTGGAGCCACGACAGACTCGGAAGATCGCGGTGCCACAGAGGCTGAGACACTGTCGCACTTGTCACAAGATCGGTTGTTCACCCGATTCCACTTGGGGCCCGACAATGCAATCCATCCACATGTGCGCAGATATTGTGAATTGACCATATCGACCAATCCTTTCGGTTTCGAAAAGATCGGTCGGCCTCGGTCGACCAACCCTCTCGATTCCGAAAAGTCAGGTCGACCGATGTCGACCGACCCACTCGATATCGAAAGGGTTGGTAGATGGTGGTCAACCCGGCCTTTAGAAATCAAAGGAGGTTGGCCGGCGCGGCGATCCTGCCCGCTTGGATCGCAACGAGCCCCTCGACACTGAAATTCGGCATCAGACCATCATGCATCACCATGCGCATGCCCCCATCCACCCTCATGGCCTTACCCCCACCTCCACCCGCCGCCCTCCACGCCCACGATCCACGCCCTTCACGGCATCCCGTCGGGGGCCAACAAGGGCCAGCGCATGTGCACGACTGCCCCCCTAACCGTCCAAAGCGCGCACTCAGGCCCCCCCCCCCCCAGCCCCTCCCACCCGTCACCGCGGCGGGAGGCGCGAGAGACGACGGGGTCGCGAGAAATTATTCACCCCTAGTTAGATACAGCAACGCAACTCCTCAATCAACCTGGCAAGCGCCGCCGCCGCGGCAACTGAGTCCGGACCCCGGCCCGGCCCGCCCCGCCCCCCGCAGCGCAAAACGGGGCGAGTGAAAGAGGGGGGAGTGGGAGGTCAGAAGGGCTGAAAGAGGGAGGAGCGGGAGGGGGGAGCGAGAAAGGGAAGAGCGGGAAGACGCAGGAAAGAGGAGGAGGTGGAGAAGGCGACGACGACGGCAACCACGACGACGGCGACGATGCTCTGCCTCAACCATTGGATGCGACGGCCAGGACTACACCCACTAGCTACGAAGAAGCGCATCGACGCCCGGGTCGCCCGAGCCGCTGGCCTCGGCCCAGCACTTACCTGTCGGGCCCTCACCATCAGACGCTGGAGCGGCCCCCTTAAGCCGATGCGATCGTTTCTTGTAGCACTGAGTGCGAGCGGGAACCCACTTCACCGAGTCATCGCGCAGAGGCAGCATAGCCTTCACACACTTTGCAGGGGCCGCGGTGAGAGGCAGCGAGACGATTGCCTCTGGGACGTTGCGCTCGCCAACCGTGAACGATGGGAGGGCGGCGTTGGAGACCTCCGCGGCCGACCTCTTGCCGAGCTCCTCCAGGGCCTCGGCCAGCAGCCGGGGCCTGCATAACCCCCCCACCCCCCACCCCACATGCTTCTGACCATGACCTCCGCCACCTTCATCGGCGCCCCCCCAGGACTAGACCGTCGAAGCAGCGGACCTGCAAGTCGAAGACCCCCTTGAGCCGGCGGTCCACGCGCGCAGAATACGCTCGAAAGCCCGTCGGCCAACTGGTCACATCCTCGTTGCCCGCCGCGCACCCGACGAACTCGACGGTCTCCCCCGGCACCCCGTGACACGCGGAGCCCTTGAACACTGCGGGCGAGACGTAGACCGCACGAAAGAATGAGATGGCCTAACTGCACGGCACCCGACAAGCGGGCGCGCGAGGTCGAGCGTTCGGATGCGAGTCGCGGCAACACGTTCGAGCCAACACTGCCACGGCTATGGCGGTGGTGCATATGGCGCTAGCAGTGGCCATGACGACATTGATGACGGTGATGAGGGTGCTAAACGTCGAAGATGCTGCTGGGGACGCTGCCGACTATGATGATTATGACGATGATAGCAGCATTAGCGATGATCACGCAGGTGATGATGACGATGACGGCTAGAGCCGATTGCAAGCCATCCTTGCGATTTACCCTGTCAATGCTAGCGCCACACCTGCACGCGGCAACACCACCGCACTGCACTGGCCAAGTACAACGCTGCAGCTGTCAAGAAGGCAGGGAGCACAGCGAAAACTCGCCAACCTAGAGGCCACGCGCTAAACAGCGTTGCGCGCTTGTCCAAGCGTACTTCTTGTCATACGAAGCGCAACCACGGTCTTGATCCGAATCCTCCTCCCCCATATCTTCCATGCCCCCCCCCCCCCCGCTTCCACCCCGCCCTCGTCTTCCTCCTCCTTGCCCGACCAGGCTGGCTCATCACTGGCCACGCCTGGAACTCAACCGAGAGCGCGCCGCCCGCAACAGCGACCGCCATGATAATGCACCAACCCCGAAATCAGATCTGGCGCGCTGCTCACCGCTGAACTATTCTCGCCTGCTTCGGCGAGGCGACTACGGCATGCGTCCAGGTTCTGAGAGGGCCCCCGGTCTGGACTGCGCCCCCGTTGCCCATCGCTGGAATAAGCATCTCGGTAGGCACCTGCAGCTTGGCGCCGGCAAGAAAGGACGCGTCGAACTTCTCGCCGACGAGCTGCACGTTCTCCGCCTCGCCATCGGGGGCCGACGGCACGAACCAACAGAAGATTCCGAAGTTGCCGGAGGCCTTGCCGCGCACGGCGAGAGGCGCCAGGCTGAGGCTGATATTCCTCGGCCCTCTGACAATCACGCCCAAGTCGACATGCTCACCGGGGACAGCCTCGCCCGAATCGCGACCCCCGGCGGCGCGAGCGCACGGCGCCAGGGCGAGCTCGCCTGCAGGGGGGGCCCCGCTGGACATTGGCGGCCGTCGGATGCACGCGCGGCGTCAGATGTCGGAACGCCAGCTCTTCCGCCACATTGCTCGGCATGCTCGACAAAGCCGCCATCGCCCTCGACTCAAAAAAAACCGACGTTCCACTGGATGGACCTTCCAGGCGCACACTGTAAGGCGTCGATGGACGCCCGCGGGCTGGCCCGCGCAACCGCGAAGCCCTCCTCGAGGTGGCCGAGGGGGACCTCGAAGGCGCCCTCTTCCTCGCGGGCCCCCGTCGGCTTCAACGCTGCCCACTGATCGTCAATCCCCGCCAGCGCGAAGATCTCCACCTTGCCATCGGCGGAGATGTTCCTGTTCTTGATCGCGGCGCCACGCTTGAAGCCCAACATGGGCGCGCGGTAGACAGCCGACTCGTCGTCCTCCACGGCGGCAGCGGCGGCCCCCGGTAAGATTGAAGTTGCCAGGCCAAGCGCCGTCGAGCTGCTCGGGGGCCGCAGCCGCGCGCGCCCGGGCCAACGGGGCAAGACCATCCCATGCCATGCCCATCCCTTGCCCCCTCGCCCCCTCCTTTTGGACCGCCCCCACCGACCACCCCCCCTTGCCGACTCGCCGGGCAGCGGAGGGGGAGAGAGGGGAAATGAGGGGCGAGCTCGAGCCCGAGATCCAAACGAAACTTGCGCTCACGCAGGGCAGTTGAATAGAGCCACCCCCCCCGAGCCCCGCCCCCCCCCCCCTCCCCGATGTCGATCTCGAGTGGTTCGACCAATCACGATCGGCCAGCCATTTCGACTTGGGAAGGCCAGGTCGACCAGCATCGATCAACCCATTTAATATAGAACGGGTCGGTCAGCGATGGTCGACCCAACCTTTCGAAACCGAAACGAATGGCCGACGCGGCCACCGACGCGGGGGGGAGTCCCGAACGGAACGCCGCCGAGGCGCAATACTTCCTCAAACAGAAAGACCAGTCGCCGCGCCCCCCCGCCTTCCAGGCCCAGACCCCACCCGGCTGCAACAGAAAACCATCCGAAGAGAGACGGCCCCAAAACAGAACGTGCAACACCTCCCGAGGTCGCCCCACTCCCCCTTCATTCCCCCCCCCTGCCCACCTCGGGCCCCGACCCCAAAATCATGCGCCCTCGAAGCCCGCGCGCCAGACGCGCGGGCCGAGGGGGCCCATGGACTATCGATGGGCTCGCCCGCCCCCCTGGCGAGGTTGTTGATCAGGACCTGGCGCGCGCTCGCAGCGTCGGGGCATTCGACGCTTACCTGGGAAACGAAGCAAGCTCCGCAGTGTCCTCCTCTCCGTCGTCGTCGCCCCCCTTATCACCACCACCACCACCCGCCCCTCCCACTCCCCCGCGCCCCCCACCCAACCCCCGCAACCCCCTCTCCTCAAAACTCGGGGCGGGCCCCCGGTCCCGAGCAGCGCCCACCTTTTCAAATGTGATCGGCCAACATCAGCAGCTCGGGGCGCCCCGCGATTCCGAACTCCCCCATCCACCCCCGAGTCCTGTCGAGAATGGACTGGCACTTCTCAACATTTGGTGGGCATCCCCCGTTGGCGAGCCCGTCAAGGTCGGCAACGTTGATCCGCGACGCCTCGCCGCCCATGACGCACCCCGCAGGAGACAGCATACGCGACAGATGAGCAGCGTTCCGAAAGCGCGAGAAGGGCACCATGGATGGCCACGACAGCGCGGCGAGCTCATCGAAGAATTGACCCCCCCCCCACACGCGCAAGTAGTTCGCCGCGCTCGACTTGGGCGCCTTCAAAGGGGGGCTGCATGCTGCGCGTCGCCGTCGTCCGTCGTCGTCGCCTGTCGTCGCCTGTCGTCGTCGTCGTCGCCGTCGTCGTCGTCGATCATAATCCGTCGTCGTCGCCCGTCGTCGCGGTCGTCGCCGACGCCGACGCCGTCGCCGCGCTGCTCGACGCTGACGGGGCATATTTCGGCCAAATCGAGCCACGCAGCTGCCCCCGCGTCCAAATGCCCCCGCAGTTGCTGCCCGATACACATTCCACGCGCTGACCGAGCGACTGCGCCCAAGGAGCCCAGAACGGCCGCGCCCCGATCGAATCGGCGACGGCCGCGGCCAGCGCCGAAGCTTCGGCATCTCCCATGGCGCAGCGCGCCTCGCACATGCCAAAACGCGTTGTGGGGCCCTCCATCTCGCCGGCGCCGCCCGCCCCACGGGCGTCGAGCGCCCGCCGCGCGCGGGGGGGGGCAAGTCAGGGAAATTCTTCGGGACCTCGCCGGACATGGCGCCCCGCAGAAGGCCCTCCTTTAGAGCGGTCTCCGCACGAGAGCGCCTGCCACTCAGAAAGTCGGGGCCCGGGCATCCCGAAGGAGCGAGCGTCTTCCGCGCGCAATGAAACTTAGCGTCGACGCTCCACAAGCAGAAGTTGACGCGCGAACCACCGAACAAAGCAACGGCCAAGCTCGCGCCAGGAGGCGCGAGGGAACCGCTCAGATCTTGCCGATCAAATCCAACACCTTCTCATACTCATCAGCGCCAGCCTGGAGCTCCAACCCGCGCGGCGGCGCATGCTTTCCTACATGCAAAGCCAGGCGAGGAATAGTTGACAGCTGCTCCGACTCATCCAGAGTACCCCATAACTAACCTTAAGCCTTACATTACCTATCCGAAGGATCCCCCTACCCATCTTACTCATCATAAGCATTAAATATTATGCATCCTGAACGTTCTACTCATCCTCAAACATTTCCCGAATGCTCATTCCTACTCCCCGTGCGTCCTTCAACAACCTGCTTCCGAGACGCCAGGGCCCCCGCGGTTCCCGTAGTGAACGCTTGATATATTGGGAATCGTCTTGACCTGCGACAAGAGCGTGGGATGTGTCTGAAGCAAGGATACAGCACTCTCCCATGCCTTGACATTCTCGCCGTCTTCTCTATATTTCATTCAGATGTGATGCGTCGGCCCAACGACAAACGCCATTGCCACCGAAACGGTGTCAGCACCAGCCACAGCCATCCACGCAGTAATCGTGAGGAACACGCATATAAACTGCAAGAGCCCGCTAGCAGACAACAGCGCTCGAGCAACAAGGCTCTGGAACAGATGCCCGCGAACCCCTCTCGCCGACCTCTTTGAAGCAATGTGTTTGTGAAGCTTCGGTCCCCAAGAAAAGGGTTTGGCAGCGCCTTTCAGGGCCCAATGAACGGGCCCTTCCAGACCGGGAGAAAGACCTTTGAGGGCCCCGAAAGTCATGCACAAAACCATCGCTACCTTTTTAGGGCGCCTGCCTGAACCTATACCTAAACAGCTGGCGCCCACGTCTAAACACTTACCTAGACCGTTAATATGTGCAACTGCTTGGTAATACAAGCGGTTATGTAAACGTTTACGTAACGCGGGACGCGGATAACGAATGCTACTCAGCGCTAGTGCTCGATAGTAAAAAAGTCCGTACAAAGGAAATAAGCGCTCGACGCTTTACTAAGAGTTGCGCATAGGTTTCAAACTGCTTGTAGGGCTGAAGAAGGGTACATATGTTAGCAGATGTTTAGTTAGCATTACAAGTGTTTTGCTGAGCTCGTTAAGAACTAAAACAGTATAAACCTCAGATCTGCAAGGATGGGAAATTGTCTTTCATGTTCGGCCTTTGGGGGGCCCTCGCCAGGTCACGGGACAGTCAAAAAACGACTCGGGATGAGAAAGCGGGACAAGGGTCGAGCCTTCGAGAAACCCTGCCTCGAAAAAAAAAAAAATCTCATGTTCCGCTCGGATTTGTGGATCGGCGCTGGCCCCCCTGACAGGCGCGCGGCGGGCCAGGGGCCCGGCGCCGCTTCGAAAGTGTGTGGTGATGTCGTTTTTTCTTCCTCGAGGGCCGCCGGCCACGATCACCGCCTCCAGCTCCCGCGCAGGGCCCGCGTCACCGGCTGGAGCCCGTCCCGGGCCCGGGCC